CATAGAAATGAATACTTTATTCATCCCCCCCCCAAAAAAAAACAAAGGAAATTGGTTGGCTGATTAAGGATTAATTAATTGAATAGACATATTAGAAAATATTTAGATTATTATTGTTCTGGAACATAGCTTCTAAGATGAAATGAGGGCATCAGACTCTTCTCTCCCCTCTGGTTTAATTAAGTTCCAATCTGACCTTAGTCCTAAAGCAGGAGCCTTTCGGTTACAGAAATATTGGTTATCTTTTCATGAAATGGCATTTTATTTTTACTTTTAATTTTTAGCTTGAACAAAAAGTACAATATTTATACCATTATGGAGAAGCTGCAAAAACTCTAATTTATGTTTGACAATTTACTTCAATGATTTTATGTATCCTAACACATTTCTATAGTTACATTAACTCTGCCTCATTCTCTCCCTACTCAAGATATAACATTGTAATGTGTGGGTTGAGAAGTTATAAACTGGGCACGGCAATTGTGCTTTGCAATATTTTGGAACATATGCAAACTCTATAGATATGTGTATAGTGTTGGAGAGTCCTGGGGGTGTAATCCATTTCAGTGGACTTGTGGACGTGTGTCACTTAATTCCAGTCATGTTTATAGAGACAAAAGATAGTTCTCACAGTTGCAGCTTGATTGTCTTGTTTCAGGTGTACCAGACTTTGGAACATGAACTTCAGAGACATGTTAGTCGACAAGACACTCTGCAGCAGTGCCAGGCCTGGCTTTCTGCAGTCCAACCAGATTTAAAGCCAAGTCCACATCCACCTCTCAGCAGGGCAGAAGCCGTTAAGCAGGTATAGACTCCTGAAAGTTTGTGTTGTGTTATGTGATTCATTCAGACATTCAATGAAAATATATTAGGTACCTATCATGTGCCAGACTGCGCTAGCTACTGGGGATATGTAAGTACATGCAAACCTCATTTTACTGGGCTTTATTTTATTGCATTTTGTAGATATTGTCTTATTTTATTAACAAACTGAAGGTTTTTGGCAACCACCAGCAAAAAGATTATAACTAACTGAAGGCTGAGATGATGATTAGCATATTTTAGCAATAAAGTATGTTTAATTAAGGTACGTACATTGTTTTTTTAGACAATGCTATTATTGTACACTTAATAGACTGCAGTATAGTATAAACATAACTCGGTTGATGAAAAAATTTGTGTGACTCGTTTTATTGCAATATTCACTTTACCCAATCTACAATATCTCTGAGGTATGCCTGTGTAAATAAGATCTGAACTTGACTCTAGTCATTGGCTCATTTGGATATGAGACTGGAGAATTTCACTACTGACAAACGACAACTTCAGATGGTGTCAGACTGGGGTCATGCTTTGACAGGCTATGGTTGCAATTCATTCATGGTCCCAGGAAGCATTGTGTATTCCTAATACCTCCTGCCTCGTAAACAATAAATATATGATGATAACATGCTCCCCACTACCACAAGAAATTGGCGCACTGACTTGATTCCATTGAGAATGCCATATGTTTTTATAAGGCATTTGGGGGAGTAGGATAAAGTACTATCAGATTTGCTCCCTGAAATTGATTTTAGCAAAAATCTTTTGCAACTGTTTTGTCACTGACAATCTATAAGCTGCTCCCAGTGATTTTGGAATCAAGTCAACTGTATAAATCTTAAATCATTATTTTTTTTTTTAAAGTAAATATAAGATAAGAAATCTGTTATCTTATTCTCTTCTCATTTTCAAAAGTTGCTTTGGACAGATAACTTTCTCTGGGTCATAGCTACATAACGGGGTGGTTTGGCAAATTCAGACCTTATTTATTACAGAAAAAACTGTAGAAGTTTCTTGGGTGTTTCCTTTGTCCAGACCATACAAACTTCTTTAATTATAATGTGAAGCAAGTGGTGGACAAATGGATCCCTTGTCAGAATGTTTTGAATTCTTTGCACAAGTCACTAGTGTATGTCATTTACAACAAGGGTTGTAAATACTGAACATAGCAAGATTGTTTTTGAAATATCAACAAAATATTACAAGTATACAAAGACTCGCTGTCTAAATATGGCATACATCTCTTTCACTCTTCACAATTTTGTTTTCAGGTCAAACACTTCAGAGCTTTGCAGGAACAGGCAAGGACCTACTTAGATCTCCTTTGCTCCATGTGTGACTTGTCAAACTCTTCAGTGAAAACCACAGCTAAAGACATTCAACAAACAGAGCAAATGGTAAAATAATGATTAATAATAATAATAATAAACCCTTGGATTTGTCCATATTATTATATTCTTTTGTTTGAATGTTAGATGTAAAAGAATATATCTGCTTGAATATTTCTTGCTATAATACTTCCGCAGCCATTGTAATAAATAAATATTTGAATTTCAACTGTCACAGAAAAATAAGCACACTGAAACTGGTGCCACTGAATTAGAACTGAAACAAGTAGTCTCAGTGATCTGCTTATCGTTAGAGCCTCTTTTCTCTTTTCTTTTTAATTACCCTTTTCTCTTTATCTTTTCCTATTTTTCTACTCATTTTTGTTCTTTTCTGCTTTTCCACCTTTTTACTGAGGTAACACTTAATATGAAAAGGATTTCTTATCTTTGCTTTATATGAGGGATGGTCACGAGCATGCCGTCTGTCATGACCCTTCTAAGCCATTGGAAGTGTCTGAGCATGGTGTCCTAAAGAATTCTGAAGCTATATCTGGGCTCAGTGGAAAAATGTGCTGAGTCAGCAGTACCTAAGCACAGCAGACAAATGGCGGCAGAGGGCAATATGATAGCCACCGCTGCCTTAAACTCTTTAATACAACACATTTAGGTTTAAAATTTAAAAATAAGACTTGGTTTTGGTATTTAATTGATTAAATATCCACAGAATGCTAAAATAATCTAAATAAAAAATAATGAAGATTTAAAATAAATAAATAGTAACGTAGATATTTAATAATCAAAATAATATGGGTTTCTCACTTTTAAATTATCAAAGCAAATGTCTATATTATCAAAGCAAATATCTTTAAATCCTTATGAAAGATGATATAATTCATATTTTTTACAGATATGATTTATTGGAATCAATCACATGATTTTAAAAACCAGTAAAGTCAATCTAAAAATATATCCAAAACATTAATAACTTGGTGTTTTATTAGACCTTGCAATAATGTACAGTAGGGAACAATATGTCTTTTCTAGTTAACCCCAAGACCAAATTCACGAGTAATTCAAATAGATGCATCCCCTAAAATGCCCAATGTGAAAAACAATTAGGGCAGCTTTTGACCTAATAAATTGTTAAAACTTCTTAGAGCTTCACATATTGACTGAAATCGAATGGCACGTCCTAGACATTTCAAGCCTTTAGAAAACCTAAATATAAAAAGGAAAATCTACTTTTCTCGAAACAGATAAAGAATTCTTCCTGTATTTATCAGTGTGTGTGTGTGCACACGTGTGTATGTGTCCACATGTGAACAAGCGTGCATGTGTGTTGGCCTGCGTACGTGGACAGGCTGAAGAATCGCATCTCTGATTCATTGAGCGTAAACGTTCTTCCTTGTTGCTGCTGACTCCTGCCATCACGTTCTCTCCAGGTGGAGCAGAGGCTTGCCCAAGCACAGCATGTAACTCAGGGCTGGGAGGAGATCAAGCACATGAAGGC